GTTACATCCGAACTTAGGCCTTCCTTACTTGTTTTTGGTAGAGTTTATTTCGCATATATCTCATTTGAGTTAAGTAGGTTTCTTTTAGTATCAATATCCCGGATATGAAGCAAAATATAGTAATGACTAGTAATGAAGCCAAGTAAGACCTATAATATAATTTATCAAGATATCAAACATGATTGTATTCCTTACACTCTTTCGTCGAATAATAAATGTTAAGTTCTTTTGAAACATTCCTAAATGTAAAGTTTTGCCAACACTTGAAAATATTTCCCCGCCTTTGATCTGTGAGAATTGCGAGAGTGTAAAATGTTAGGTTGCACCCGAAGTTAGCCCTTCCTTACCTGTTTTAATTTTATAAATATCTAATGAACAAATTTATCAAGAGCCTTTTGAAATATATTTGTATAGAAGAGTGGCATGAGATAATAAAACAACGTGAGGCAAGTTGACAAAAAGAAAACGAAAACCTGTCAGACTGTGTCACGAGTGCAAATACACATGTGTTTCGTAAAAAAATACTTAATTGGTTATCACAAAATACCAAAGTTAATTAATTAATCTTTTAATTAAGCTTAAGATTCGATCAATACAAGACAGGCAAATCCGTGGTAATATGAATGTGAGAAGATCGCAGCCTTCCTCTCTCTCTCTCTCTCTCTCTCTCTCTCTGTTTAGCAAACAAATAAAACAGAGTGTGCAAAATATTTAATCTTATCAGCGAATAGGTTGAACAAGTGCCGTTGGGTCTGTGGATACGATTATCATTACGGCACTTGTGGAACAAACGATAACAAAGCGCATACAACGCACCTGAACAACGCACGAATAGCATGAAAGCTAAACAATGCGATAGTTGTTTATGGCTTTAAATATTGAAGCGAATAATAGCCTATGAGGTTGACCAGTGTTTCGTGACTTTCAGCGCATTATAGTCGTAGTCGTGTAGCACCAACATACATACCTATTATATGATATACTCGTAGGCGGACTGCAAGGTGAACGCCGTGATTCAAATATATTTCGACCGTGATTTATTCTTAACTAAATAGTTGATACGCTGTTGAATTTTATATTATTGATAAACACGTTAAGAATGTAGTGGAGCCAAAAAGGTTCTCGCGAGTAAGAGTGTGTGGAAAATGAATATTTTTACTTTACTCTTAATCATATTTCTCATGGCATTTGTGATATTACCAATTGTTTGCTTTTATACACGAATTGAAAGCAAATCGTTGGCGAGATTATGCCCGCAAGGATATAGAAATTGTAATCGCAATCGCTATCGGCAGCGTGGCGCGTCTCAACAAGCAGGCATGCGACGTGTTTATAATGGTGTGTATTACTTTTTAATGAATTGAATTGCCTAAGGGAATTGCTAACGATGTTCTTTGCTGTTTCGAATTAAAAATTTAATGATTTTTAAAATCAAAAAATGTTTAAAATATCGCAATATCATGAAGAGAGCAAAACGAAATATGTATTTAAGTCCTTAGGCAGTTTGGGACATTTAATGCATGTGTTTAGTTCTAAAAAAGTTTAGGACGAAATTTTTAAATATTCAGTGAATTAAGCGTACACTTCAAACAAATGCTATACAGGTAGTGAAATTAAATCTCATACGAAATCTTCTAAAACAAGTATATAAAAAGAAAGAAAAAAACTCAACTAACTTTTGTAAATTGTGGCAAACATTTTGTATTTTCACTGTAAAAAACTTAAGAAAGCTGCTTTTATGTCAAAAACTTGATGTTGATCAGTAAGTTTGTATGACAAATACTATATGCACACATATAGTGGTTCGATCTGAACAATATGTTCGGTGATTGTATCATTGTTTTGGGAAATTTTTTTCGCCAATTTCGAGAAGACATCTTATCAAATAAGTTTTCTATACAAATTCTTAATTTTGATCGATCAATTTGTATGTCAGCTGTATATTATAACTCGCAATATCGGCGGTTCCTACAAATGAGCCGTTTTTTAAGGAGAAAAAAACGTGTGTAAATCGACATCTCAAAAGCTAAGAGATTAGTTCGCGTATATACAGACAGACGGACGTAACTAAATCGACTCAACTCGTCACCCTGATCATTTATATACACATATATTTTATAGGGTCTTCGACGTTTGATGTTAGAAATTTCGTGAGAAACTTAATATACCTTGTTCAGAGTATAATGAGCTGGTAGTTGCCTAGTGGTAGCTAATTGACATAGAAAATATTAGTAGAGATTAACAAGTGGTTTTGATAGTTATTTATAGAGTTGCAGTCAATTTAAATAGATTAACACATACAATGTCAAGGCCGTGCCATCCGAATTAGTACGAACTTTCTTTGCTTAGGGGAATCATCCCATGTGATGGACTCAAAAACTCGATTTATTTTTTATTTCATAAATTGCTTTCCTAACATATCTTGCATACTTTAACAAAGTAGTTTTTAAAAATTCGACGTCGTTTTAAAGATTCAAAGCGGTTCTAAACGGACTTAAAGCTTTAAACGCGTTTGTCTCAATATTGTGTTTTTGAAACTCTCCTCCATCCTCAAAAACGGCTTGACCGAATGACTTCAAATTTGTAAGACACATGTAATGAACTATTACACTGTAACTCATGTTCTACACAATATTTTAAGCTTAAAATTTATATTTGTACTTTCGAAATTTATGTTAATAAATGAAGATAAACTTAAAGCTCTATCTCTTTATTGGTCATAAAAAAAAATCCTGAAAAATTCCTAAAAACCAGCCCGTCACGTGGGATGACGCTCTTAGTACTAAATTTTGCATGACGTCCACACAACTCGATTTTTTCAACTCTGTCTACTTGGTGTGGCTTTGTATGGCCGAATTTCAATTACAACCTGGCTTCACTGCTGGCAACACAAATTTCAAAAAATTAATGTTTATAATTAATGTTATACATTTTATAAAACTTAATATTACAAGACGTAATACACTTTTACCAACTCATTATATAAGTGGCAGGTTTGTTCTCATTTACTAGTTCACTGTCAAAGCTATTTTAGCACCTGACATGACATTTATAAACGCTCATAAATAAACCTAATCTTATCATCATCATAGGAGCTATGTATATCGCACTTGAGTGCCTGAATATCTGCCTATAAGCAAGCCATAAAATGGTCAAGAAAGCTATAACATTCATTCAATATTTACAAATTTTGCACTGCAAATTCGCTTATCAATTAACATTTCAATTATCACGTTTCAAATTGCCTTAGTTATCGCACTGAGCAGCGAACTTGAAGAGTTTTTATTTATTTTTGATTGGATGACGGCAGTTTTCTTCCATTTCTCCGCCAATAAACACAGTTGTTTGCGGCTGAAGAACTGTGTAAATTTTAGTTTAAAATTAGTCAAAATAATTAACTACCAAATCTTAGGATGAATTACGTTGTTTACTTCATTGTCGTCATAATAATAATTTTACTTTATCAATTTTTCGTGGTTGGTAAAAAAAACTAAGAATATATTTTAAACTTTGTAACACAAATTTAATAATTTTTACTTTTTATCCAAAATGAAGGTAACTCTGCGCATGTTTTCCGTAATGCGTGTACAAAATCGTCTAGAGCGTGGTATGAAAATTTTGCCATTTGAAATTATACAAAATATTTATTAGCCTATTATAAGCAGTATTATTTAATGACTAGTACACATAGGCATATCGTACTGAACAAAAATTACAAATTTGTGTAGACGTATGTCTGTAATCAGATGGCAACGCTGTCTGAAGGAATCCATGAACATATATAGAAAGAGAATTATACTGAATACTTCATGAGAAGAATTTGCAAAACTAAAATTAAGTAATCATATACAGTAGCTCACCAAAATATTCTGAAATTGAAAATTCCCAATAGAAAATTCTAAGGAAGTTATTTTTTCTCAGTCTCATGTGCCAAAAGCGATTTTTTACGACTTACATATGTTATAAGCATTTGATTTTCTTTTCCTAGAAAGAATACAACTCGAAAGCAAAATTATGATCACTCTAAGCATGACCCAACTAGAATTCACATCACATAAGTTTGAACAAAATTAATTTTTAGTGATGTGGCTAAATATTTAAACAGTCAAGCATGTTGACAAAGTAATGTTTTGGGAGCGGCTAGGAGAAAAAGGTTTCGGTAATATGCAGTTTGTTCCCGAACAAATTAATGGGCAGCAATATATTAAAATTGTAAAAAAAGTTGAGTACTAGTGCCGATAAACTTGGATAAAAAGCTTATAATATTAGGATTGGAACAGCCTTTCCGCAGCGATACTCATATAATGGATGAAGGTATCAGTTCAGGGAATACAAAACTTAGTGTATGGTTGTTAGAGAAAGGTTTTATTTATATATTTAAATCAAAGCTTTGCTTAAACTAGCATTCGAAAAAAATATTCGAATACTTTTGTGAGCCACTGTATGTAGTAAACAACACGCGATGTTCTCCCAATGTTTGTACATATAAAATGTTGCTTGATTTGTAGTTAAATATATTTCAAAGCTTCGGGTGAACATTCATTGTGAAATAAAAGGCATTCAAGAAACATTCTTCAATTAGTTAACAAAATGTTTCCCGTAGAAATCACCAGCTGCTAATCAAAATAAATATTAACCAGAGCTCTTATTTCACCACTTTAGCTTTATTTACGTTCAGGCAAGCAGCAATATCAGATAACAGTATAATCAATTGTAAGCTGATATGCGTACGAGTGTGTGCCCGTTTTTCGAAAAATGTTTTTCTATTATTGCAGATTTTACCTCTGTAAGGATGTGACTTAACGAGCAACAGTTACACACAATTTTGCTCTAAAATTACTGAAAAATAATAAAATAAAATACGAAGAATTCCGGGGGGACATTTAGTATCCACTTTGTCGTTCGGTTATTTTCCTTTCCTAAAAGCTATTTTTTACAAAAAACGCTTCTGGTTCTAAGACATGTGATTCATTTTTACATTCATCTTACTCTATTTCAAGATCGCCAAGGCAACATTTTTACAATCGCCAATGAGAGCGCCAACAACCCGTTACCACATCGTTGTACAGATTTCTTCTATGTTGAACCGAGCGCCGAAGATGCTGCCCGCATTCGCGCACAACTCGAGAAGGATGAAAAGGACTTACCCACCTACGAAGAGGTGATGGCTATGAGTGCCGCACAGGCGGCGGCCGGTACATTATCGCCTCCGCCTACCACCTCAACAACCTCCGTTGCCACTACGGATACGACAGTGCCGCCATACTCAGAAGTCGATCGTAATGGAACGCATGCTGCACCACTAACCTTGGAAATCGGTACAACTGCGTGGCCAACAGGAAACGAAACAGCACCAGCTGCGGTAGCAGGAGCAGCTTCGACATCCCGTGCTGCCGCCGCAGCCGCCACAAATACAGCGACTACAGCTACAGTCGTCACCATCGCCAATTCGGTGTCAAATACAAGCGTGTGATCCACTCACTTGCATTCAATAGTATGCTGTATTGGTCTTCATACAGATGGCGTAGAGTACGAGCAACATAATGTCTTTTGAACTTACAACTTGGCTGGAAGGTCAATATTGCCACGTGCTAGTTATTTCATTTAGAGTACGCATTTAAATGTTCTTTCATATGTACATACACACATTCCGGCATTTTAGAGAGTGTTATGTTTTTATCAGTTCATCCATAGGTATGCCCTGAACTTATTTATCTAGTTTCTATTTTGTGTAAATTAACCTTTATTTTATAAGAAAACTTATTATAAAAAGTGTGAGTAATTAAAATAGCTTTACAACAGGCATCGTAACTAACGGTTATTTATAGAAAGTACAAATACGAGTACTCTTCCACATTTAAATCGAGCACAGGTGATCTTTTATTGTAAATAAACGAGTATTCATAACGATAGATAATCTAAAATTTTAGCATAAGTTGTTGTAAATCGAAAGCTTTAAAAATATATACCTTTACAAAAAAACTGAAAGATGTTGTGTGTGAGTTTTTTTACATTTTGAAGCTCCCTAGGTACGGCGGCAATATCGCTCGACGAAAAAAGTTGTGCGTCAAAACAAAATGGAGGGAGAGAATTAAAAAATGTTAATTCATTAAAATTAATACTAAATTAATAATAAGAAACAAACTATTAAACGAAAGAGGTTTTGAAAGTTAAAAAAAGAACAGTAAAAATATGTTTAAACAGAATTGTCACCTGTTAACTAATTTTTATTCAGATGCAGTGCGTTCAAAAAGTAACGTATTCGTTTTCCAAAATGTACGTAACGTTTATTGGGAAAAATATTGTAATTTTAGAAAATACATTGTTTTGTTATGGCTGATGTGTATTCAATACTTGCCCCAATCTCCCGCGTTGTATATTATAGCCTAACATCATTGATAGCAACTTGCAACTAAGTTTTCCGCATATTCCACATACGCCACCTCCATGATATTTTTGCTTCCATTAAAGCTCAAATATTCTCTATTGAATATGCGTTTGTTGACAATATGATTTTCTTGTATCCATTAGGTATAGAGTCTGCTCCTATGTTTCGGATATTGTCTTCTTGCATTATCCATTCATTATTATTTTTACCGTAAAGCACTTTAGCGGACTTCAATAAAAAAATTTTATAAAATTTTTTTATTCTAACGGCATTCAGATTTTCTTTGTAGCAGCTCAAAACCCCAAATCCATGAGCAGAGAAATTTCCTTAAAAATACAACTTTTGGGAGTGCTTAACAATCTTTTGAATTAATGTTTGTTTGTTTTTTAAGCCAAACACGTCTCAAGGGGTAGAAAAATACAAAAGTTGACTAATCTGTAAATATTACATTGCTCCAATCACGGTTGATGTTCTCCTGCGACCAATGCATTCTTTTTTCAAAGTGTGATTTTGAAAATAGGGGTTGACATCAGTACTGCTGCGTTTGATGTCAGATCCTGAAATATGTCCCATATTGTATTTAGAGATATATCAAATCCCTTTTTAAACAAATTTCTAAAGATTAACATCACTTTTAAATGCCAAATAATTCTTTGCTCTTCGAAGACGACAAGCCACTTCGTTTCCAGTTTCACCATTATGGTCAGACCACCTCCTCACAAATGAAAACTCGTGTTTAAATACTTTGCAGCTTTTTTAATAGTATATTTGGGACCTTTAGGATAATTCGTTAGAAAAGCTGCTTCAAAACATTTTTTATACTGAGCACTCACCGTCAGTGATCGCAATTAAACAAATGTTACGTATATAAAACAGTTTTCAGCTAATTGATCGGGCAAGGATAAACGCACTGTAAATTATCAAAAGCAAGGCGTTACTACTCAAAACTTGAATCCATAGAAATAATTTTCATTTTGGCACTAATTCATGCGCACGTTCAACAAATGGCAAAATTGGGGTTAAACCAATAATAACGGCTGCTTGTGGTAAAATATCTTTATTTAGAAAATTGGGGAGTTTGTTTAATAACGTGAGTATTATTTAATATATAATTGCGAAAATTCTTTCCGTTCATTTACAGAAAAGTGTTTCCTCGGCATTTCGATACATTTCTAAGATAAGTTCTGGTACAAGTTCAGGCCGTTATAAGCCACTGCTATGTGGCGAATCATCGAAAAAGTGTTTTTACGATAGTAAAATCCCATGCATTACACCGAACTATTGCAGAAGTTTAGTATTGCATATATTACTAATAATTTGCATACAAATTCGGTTAGTACTATTGAAGTTAGAGGTGGAACCGAAAAAGAAAACTAACAAAATAATAAACATAAACGAACAAAGTAAATTCCTTTAATAAGCGTTATACTCAAGCGGTTCCACCACTTTCAAACTTAAAAAATTACCCCAATATTTTTAGAAATATAAAATTTGTATATCTTCGAACATCCGAAGCTAACGTGGATGATGTCCATATTTATCCCTTTTTAGTAACTAGCATACTACAATTAATAATGATGTTTTGAAAGCAAATATATTGATTTTGGAGGCTAACTTCGAAAAACGGAACAATTATTTTCGTTCATATGACTCAATCTCTTAAAAAAAAGATTGGTTTGGCCCAATATCGGGTCGGCTTTGTATACATCATCCCACGATTTAAAGGTTAAAGGGAGTATGGTTGGACAGAGGAGATTCTCCAGATTAAGAATATAGCTGCGGGAGTTGGAAAATTGGAGATAAAATGGAAAATTTAGATGATAATATTTTGTAGAGGGTATTTTAATACTCTCGCAACCTGTTGCTACAGAGTATAATAGTTTTGTTCACCTAACGGTTGTTTGTATCACCTAAAACTAATCGAGTTAGATATAGGGTTATGTATATAATAATGATCAGGATGAAGAGACGAGTTGAAATCCGTCCGTCCGTCCGTCCGTGTAAGCTTTAACTTGAGTAAAAATTGAGATATCCGTGAGACGGTTGGTATTGCAGATGGGCGTAATCGGACCACTGCCACGCCCATAAAACGCCATTATTCAAAAACAAATAAATTGCCATAACTAAGCTCCACAATAAGATACAAGACTCTTATTTGGTATACAGGATAACAATAGGGAGGGGCATCTGCAGTAAAAATTTTTTTTTAAAGTGGGCGCTAAATTTAATGTGCATATCTCCTAAACCGCTAATGCTATAATAACAACATAAATTCACTGGAAGCAAATGTTTTTAGAACCTCTACCTACAGTGTGAAAATGGGTGAAATCGGGTGACAACTCCCCCACTCCCCATATAACGGTACTGTTAAAAACTACTAAAAGCGCGATAAATCAAGCACTAAATACGCCAGAGACATTAAATTTTACCTCTAAAATGGTATGAGATGACTTTATAGGACCGCGTTCAAAATTAGACAGTGGACGTGGCACAGCCCACTTTTAGGTGAAAATCCATATCTTGAGATCTGCTTAACCAATTTCAACAAAGTTTGGTTCTTAACGTTCTTTTCATATTTCTATATTATAGTTCGAGAATGGGCAAAATCGGAGTACAACCACGCCTATTTCCCATATAACACCATTTTCAATTCCATCTGATTCTTTCACTTTCCACTACGCATGTCAAGCAACAATGATTATATCGGGGTAAAACTTTGCGTGAATAATACGTTTAAAGTATGCCACCTTGTGACCAAAAATTGTCTAAATCGAACCGAAACTGTTCAAGCCCCTAAGTACTAAATATGTGGACCCCAGTGCCTACAGTTGACCTTCTACCGAAAATATCAGTCAATCCACAAAGAAATATCAAACGAGTATACCATTTGACTTTGCGAGAGTATAAAATGTTCGGTTACATTCGAACTTAGCCCTTCCTTACTTGTTTTTATTTATTATACTCTCGCAACTTGTTGCTACAGAGTATAATAGTTATAGGTTTTTTGTAACACCTAAAACTAATCGAGTTAGATATAGGGTTATATACAATATATTATATATAAATGATCAGGATGAAGAGACGAGTTGAAATCCGGGTGACTGTCGGTCAGTCCGTCCGTCCGTCCGCCCGTCTGTGCAAGCTGTAACTTGAGTAAAAATTGAGATATCTTTATGAAACTTGGTACACATATTTATTGATACTGTGAGACGGTTGGCACTGCAGATGGGCGTAATCGGACCACTGCCACGATCACAAAACGCCATTAATCAAAAACAAATAAATTGTCATAACTAAGCTCCACAACAAGATACAAGACTCTTATTTGGTATACAACCACGCCTATTTCCATATAACACCATTTTAAATTTCATCTGATTTTTTCACTTTCCACTATGCAAATCAAGCAACAATGATTATATCGGGGTAAAACTTTGCGTGAATAATACTTTTAAAGTATGCCACCTTGTGACAAAAAATTGTCTAAATCGAACCAAAACTGTAGGTACTGAATATGTGGACCCCAGTGCCCATAGTTGCCTTTTACCGAAAATATCGTTCAGTCCACAAAGAAATCTTAAACGAGTATACCATTTGATTTTGTGAGAGTATAAAATGTTCGATTTCATCCGAACTTAGCCCTTCCTTACTTGTTTTGATTGCTTTCATTCGTTTGGATATGGAAACACTTATTATTTGTCAACATGAAACCCATTTGTTAGTGTGGATATAACGAAAATTGTGTAAAAAATAAAATACTTGTTTAAAGCAAATATGAGAATAATTGATATAAAATAACTATGTAGAAACAATTTAGTGAGGTGCTAGTGAAGAAAACTGTACTGTAAATCGAGAAATTGCAAGATAAAATTTGTCAAATTTTCAACTTAAAATGCAAATTTCTCTAAAACTAGAATTTTCCGGCAGCTATACATAATTTTATGTACTCTTGATCTGGAGAATCTCCTCTATCTATCCATACCCCTTTATCGTAGGATGGTATACTAAAGTTTCCCCCCAACATCTACCCAAGTATTGTAACATTACATACCGGGCAAGTTAATATTTGCTTGCTTTTGAGACTTCGTATAAGTAAGATTTAGTAGAGCTTAATTTTTTGTAGATACATTTTGGAATCGAATAATTTTAATAAAAACGAGCAAGAAAGGGCTAAATTCGGGTGTAACCGAACATTTCATACTCTTGCAACTTGCACGGATTAAACACGGGGAATTGGTTTGTCTACTGCTAAATGCTTACATATATATTAAAAAGTTTAGCGAAAGATATCAACATTCATTATTCCACGAAATGAATGAAAGTGAATCAATTACAATAAAATTTGGTATTTTATTGAGTTATATTAAACTTCATAGACTCAATTAGTTTTATTGATTTATTTTACTTCGCGTCAGAAAATTATATTAAGATTAAGGCTAAGAATGTGCTGTGGCGTTTAGGGCAAACCAACACTGCTATTTATACGTAGAGGACTGTTATCTCGAAGGATCAAAAATTTGTTAATGTCTACTAAGAGATGCCCGACTTCAATCCAACACGCATTTCGCTATGGTTGCTGTGTATCGAATTGGATCGCAAA